GTGCATGTGAATCTCTGAATTTGTCCTTTAAACCCAGAGAGGGGTCTGCTGGAGTGTGACAAATCTGACCCCGAGCCTCCAGCTCTCTCTGTTGGATCAGCTTAGATTAGGTTGCTTAAATGCAGAGTGTGTTGGCTCATAACCACACCTCTGATAAAGATCTGATTCACTGTGCTGAACACACAGGCCCAAGAAAAAGAGAGAGGACGATGAGGAAAGAGACAGAAACACTGTTATGTTTGTTTACTTGAGAGGTAGCTTCAGTCCATCATTTGATCTATCATGCACAACAGTAATCAACGTAAGCTCTGGCATTATGGAGGAACAGCTGGTGCAGACATATGTTTGCTATATGAAGATATACCATAGACTTTTTTTTAGAATTAAAGACCATAGAATTTATATTTAAGGTACTTATATTTATACAACTTAAAATAACTATAGATAAACCTTATCCCTAATATAAATTTTTGATATTAATAGTAATTTTATATACATTTTCTAATATACAGAAAAAAAATGAATGAATAATTAATAATAATAACAATAGGCAAGTACACACATACAAATACAAAAGCCATAGACTTTTTTTTAGAATTAAAGACCATAGAATTTATATTTAAGGTACTTATATTTATACAACTTAAAATAACTATAGATAAACCCTATCCCTAATATAAATTTTTGATATTAATAGTAATTTTATATACATTTTCTAATATACAGAAAAAAAATGAATGAATAATTAATAATAATAACAATAGGCAAGTACACACATACAAATACAAAAGTGATTCCTGCCCCAGTTGTAATCGCAAATTATTAAGAAATGTGAATGACAAAAATTTACAAGTAAAATATTCATATGAGTTACAGTAAAAAGACTTAATTGAGAACATATATGCAGTTGTCATTTAATAATAACACAGTGCAAAAAATCTTTAAAATAGCACAAAAAAATAAAAAATAGGCCTAATTTTCTTTATGAATTTTTATCATTTGTAATAATAATAATAATAATAACAATAATCATAATAATAATATATAATTGTTAAAAAATATTTAGGTATTAAATAATTTAATATAAAGTAATTGTAATAATAATAATAAAATAATTGTTACATTTTGTTCTTATTTTTTCTTTTCTTTTCTTTTAGGGTGAAATACTGTATGACCTGAACATATTTTTCGAGAGATTCACTCAGACACAGAGTCACTCTAAGGAAGTGTGAAGTGGTTCATTTAAGACAGTAAATGTAGGGCAAACGTGAAGCAACAGCAGACAGCTGGCCACGAGCAACCTGACACCAACCGGACGATCAACTAATCAGGAGAGGGAGACAGAGATAAGTTTAAAGAGATGGCTAGAGAGAAAAAGATAGAAGCAGACACAGAAGGGCATTAGTTTACCATAGCCCCGCTGTTGAAATGAAACCGTAGCTATCTCGGCCATGGCGCGCAGTTTATTTCAGTTCTTAATGGAAGGCATCTCACGTTTGGCGCAGATGCTGTTTGGCTGTAAAGGGGCCCTCCAGTGCTGTTTCCAATTCGACCACCTGAGAGTGGAAGCCGGAGGGGGCACCAGGGAAGCCCCATAATGCGTTTTATGAGAAGTGGTCTATTGAGTTAAAACATCAGAGATGGAATAGGTCTCCAGCAGCATGTGTGTGTTTGTGTTGGTGGGTTATCTTGCCCTAGGGCCACTACTGGGGCGGTCTGTGAGAGTAGGTTATGTCTGAATGTGTGTGTGGGTTGGATGGTCTGTGGAGGTCATTCTAACCACAGCGTAAAGTGAGACTCAGCTGTGTGATGCAGATGAGTTTTATTCGGTCTGTCCGACTTGTATCATGACATATAACAGGGCTCGGGGTCTGTTTGCAACTATGGGGCCATTAGGGGGCCATAGGACACATCTGAAGTCAGAGTTGGCTAGCTTGACGTTTCCGTGTAGGTCAGTTGGTCCAAGTGTTGCTGGATTGCAAGACTCAGGGTGACCTTGCAATTTTAAATTCTCAAACCTCTGTTCAAAAGCCCAATGCACCACAAGTACTTATCTATACCTTTTTGTATAAACTGAATTAATGACAATTTTTAGGGCATTGACCATATTCATAGTCTCTTTTTTTTATTGTGAAGTAGAAAATTGACTTTATTACATTTTTACATATTTTTACAATGCGTTTATGTAAAAACCCTAAACTTTGTTTGATTCCATGGTTTAAATTAGATCTTGAATCCCATCTTTTCAGTGTAGTAGTGTGAGACTTTAGCAGCCCATTGTATTAATATTTCATAAGTTTATATTGCATGATTATCTTGAGTTCTGTGATTTTATTTATCCAAAACTCTGCCTGAAGTATTCATGCATTTTGAACATCGTCTGTCTCTGAAGTGTCTCCATTAGGAGTGTTTTCACGTCTCTATGCCTCAACCTGGGCTCCAACAACAGCAATACTGGTGTTTTTGCTCTGATTAATGATTCATAGGTTTAAATAATTGATGTTTTTTGGGCATTGAGATACACAGCACATTAGCCCTCAGTCATTCTGATATCTCCATTCAAACACCACCTGCCCATCATTTTAGTGTGTGTTTTGGTGTACGTGTACGGTGTGAACAGTCATCTAAAGTTGTTCACATACGTCAACATGTGAGTGTCTCAAATAGCCCTTAAATAATATATATCAATTACGTAATGCATTATTGTCTTCATAAGTTTCTCTAACAATAGGTAAAGACCATCCAGGAGATAACTGTGACATGATTAATAGCTTTAAACCATAATTAACTTCATTTATTTATCATTTTAACATATGGGACTTTTAAGAACAAGTTTTATCATGCATCAGGAATCAGAGGCCCAGATGGTGATGTCTGCTGGATTTTGTATCTTGAAACTGATGGCTCATCTTAACTGTGTGAATGGCACTGAAGAACATTTCACATCTTTCCCCGCCCTTGCTAGTAAAAGAATAGAGGTGCAATTCTCAGGGTGCCTGAACGGTACATGAAAGATCACGCGCCCCTGCTGTCTTAAGTGCAGATAAATCGAGAGTGGAAGTATGAATGCTAATTTTAAACAATTGACAGGCATTGCTATTAAGCAGTTTCAGGGCTCCAGGATGCCCAATTGATACTTGAGGTCACTTTTTTGTAGCATCTCTAGCCACTTTTATTCCTGATGATGTCACTTTTAGGGGTCACCTTCAGTGACCCGTGATGTCAGCAGCTGATGTTATCTGCTACAGCGTCTTCTGATCCCTGCAGATGACCTTTCCCTCCTTAGTGAATATGGATTAGAACTTTGAAGTAGAATAGAAAAGGATAAAATAGCATGGAATGGCATTGAATTAAATGGAATGGGATTAAATGGAAAAGAGTCCCTTTGATACTTAATGGTTCTGTTAAGTATTGATTAATGGTTTGGTTCATAGCTTGTACCGTTTTCACTATAATTTATATAAATACATTAAAAAAATTTTTAAAAAAAGATTTATTGTTGTTATTACTATTATTAGTAGTAGTTTTTAATAATAATTAATAATATTAATTTTTTATAATTGATTTTTTTGTTTTTGTTTTGAAAAACCTTGGTTTCTTAATGTCTTGCACAACCGTCTCTAATTATATGCTGTTTAAGCGAGAAATTGAGTTAGAATGTGCCTTCCAGCATTTAGTATCTCCAGGCACATGTTGTGGAGGTCTATAGAGAGCTGTGTTTGTGAGAGAGAAGTTTCTGTTGTGGCAAATTTGGCTCAGATCCTTTTCAAACCTGCTGAGTGAAATTAAAGCTCCACAAATCGGATTATTGCTTCCCAAGAGAGCCGTCTCGTAGCCAGTGGACAACTGCCTCTATGGTATACTGTTATCACCACACGTCTCTCTCTCTTTTATTCTCACTGTGAGTCTGGAAACCAATTTGAGGACAATCAATAGTGGTTGGTGTCTCTTCCCGTTTCTTTTGCATATTTACTGGACCATTGTCTTTCAATAAGCCGCCAACATAAATCTAATTTATCAACCACTGACATGTGAGGGTAAATACAGCGGGCCGTAACAACCATAAAGTATGAGTTGTGCACGTCCCCCTACAGTATTTAGAATAGTCGTCAACCATTATGGGTTTTTCTATAGTTGATTATTAAATTCCTTCCCCTGTCCAGAATATGTGGCAATATTGGTTAATGATAACTGATATTGTAATGTCAGTGCCAATATAAATAGCAGGGTGGAGGAGAAAATCGGTGCAATCTGTCTAGCTTCCTTTTTATTGCTTATGACAAACTTTTCTTTGGGATACATGATTTTCTGATCCAATTTGAGCTAATGTACAGTAATAAGTGGTGAGGTTTTGGATCAAAGAGATTTCACAGTGGGCGTCGATGACCTACACAGCAGGCATAGAAATTGGCACTGACAAAATTATCCTGTTTCTTATCCTAGACTTACTTTTATTTCTTATTGGTGTATTGCATCATGTCTGGATTGGATACGGTGTTCACAAAATGGTTGAAATCCCTTTTGACAACATTTATTCATACTTCACTGAAAATATTAAAAACAGACCATTTATTCTCCTTTCACAAGGCCAATTTCTATTCATGAAATACAGTATCACTAAAGACTGTGAAATTAACAACATAAATCAATCAAATAATAAATACATTTGTGTAATCTAAACGTGAGATGTATTTTTAGTTGTTCAGCTGGTGGTTGTTACCACCTTATTTAATGCCTTGAGATAAATACCCAGTTAACACATTCACAGCACCTTCTACGGATCATCTTTTATGAATAACTAACAGATAGTCATTATTATTCATGAGCTAGAGTAGGTGTAGTCATGTGCACTGAGCTTTAGATAGAGAGAGAGGGAGGAACCGAGAGAGAGATAGAGAGAGGGAGAGATGGGCAAGTGAGAGAAGGGGGTGTGTCTCTATGAAGAGGGGTTTAGTACAGCGTGCGTGGATGACTGCTAGCTAGTGTGGATGAGAGAGGGACACAGGGAGATCGAGGGGGTACGATGCACACACACAGACAGTCATTCACGAGGAATTCTGCAGCATCAGGCAGGCTGGTCAGTGCGTGATTTTTACACAAAGAAGACCGGGAAAGAGGTACCTACTGATGAGAGACGTTACTCAACGTTTGAGGGAAATCCCCGGTGTGCCTGTGTGTGTGCACTACTGCCAGAGAACTGTTGGGGGACCCGAGACGGCGAGATGGGCTGTAACCTGTGCACACTGCAGAAAAGAGAGGAGCACTACAAGCTGCTGTATGAGATCGCACAGGTGAGTCGACTTGTTTAACCTACTCCTGAGATCCTTTTGAAGTTGAGTTGTGAGATCAGATGGAACTTACATGGAAGTTTCTACCTTCTCTAGAGATATGTTCTCTATCTTTTCTAGGCAACTTGGTTAGATGAATGGATCCATTTGTTTAGACTTGTTTATCCAAAGCATCCTACAAATAAGAATAATGCAAGTAGAACCAGTTTTTTCAAGGGACAGGACACTACTCCTCCAAGTAGTAGATAGGGAAACCCTTTGTGTTTTAAAGATTCATTTTTGGCCATTTTTGTACAGAACAGTCAGAGAGTGGATAGGAAGTTATGTGGGAGAGAGCAAGAGGTGCGGGAATGGAAAGGACCACAAGCCTGGATTCGAACTCTGGTTGATGCGTACCCAAGGGGCTATCGACTCCAAACTTTGTGTTTTAAAAGTGTCTTCTAAGACATTCAGTTTGGTTCTAGTAGTTGTTTTGTGTTTGGACCTGCACAGTCTTGTGTGAAGAGTTCTTTAGGGGAACATTGGGGACTTACCTGGAAGCATTTGTCAGGGATCAAAGGAGATTTTGCAGCACACACCCTTTACAACTGTAGTAATGTTCTTGTTCATTTGGGTACAGCTGTTGTACAAGATGCTTACAGGTAGGAGGATGAGAATTTTGGATTTCACACACTGGTGAAACTTTTTATTGTTACGTAGCCAGAGTTGCAAGAAAGAAGCAAGCCTGTATAAGGTGCAAAAACCTGAACAAATTGCAAATTGATCATGATTAGTACCACCATGTTTCCAAACCCTTGCCTTTGTAGTTGGCATCCACTGGAGCTCTGTAACAGATTCTTAGAAGCAGAGTTGTTCAATACAATAGTTAAAGATCAATTTTGCTTTTTAGTCACCACTAACGTTTAGGGTTGATGCTAGTCTCGGAATGGCTGAACTCTTGACTCCTCTCCTTTCCGAGCTGTAGGAATGCCCATGTTCCTGTGCTGCATGGGAGGTCAGAGTCCATGCTCCCTCTTGAGCACCAAGCGTGCAAAATAATATTTTCATGTTGCTCTGATCGCTGCCTCATTAAGCTGTTGTACAAAATGGCTTTAGTACCTAATTAGATGGTAAACTGTGCCTTTTGTCTGTGTGGAAGCCAATCTGGGAGATTATTCCTGTCGGCGACTGGACTGGGGTGATAGAAGTTTGATCCCTACTGGTTCAAAACAGCAGGCTTGTGTTTAGAGTGACTTGTTCAGATAGCCTTTTGCTGATAACGGTGCTCTATTGCCTGTGATTGGGAGTTTTGTACAAGCACTTGCTCTTTTGTGGCACAATGGAGTGAAGAGTGGCTGGCAGCATTTTTGTGTGCGGCGTGTTGCCGCTGTGACACCCTAGAGATTGTGTGTATGTGTCTGGTGGGTTATGGTTTGCTTTTTGCTTGACATGAGATGACTTTTTATATGTCACATGTTGGTCCCTTTGTAGTTTTAGCAGTGGAGTTCAACTCTCGATGGAAATAAATACATTGCATTTTTAATTTTTTTAAAAATAAAAAAAGAAATAATGCAATGTCTCCAGGAAGGATGAAGGTACTAGGGAATGTTGAAAGGAAAGGGAAATCTGGATCTACTCTCTGTGGAGTGAATTCCCAAGCTGAAGCAAAAGTGTGTCAAGGCCTCAGATGTTTCTCAGATTGCCTCAGATGTTTCTGTTATTCGGCAATTTAAATTTTCAAGCTTTTATGTTTGCAAGAAGAAATCAAAGAAATGTTGCACCGTGTTACTCTTGAAGTCACAACAAGAAGCAGACATGAATAAACACAAACACACGCCTTCAGTGCAATTTCACGCCCCCTGACCATTTTGACGCTATTCTCGGCAGCACAGCCGAGAATAGACCCTGGTGGTCTGTGAGATTTATGAGTTTAATGTGAGTGTTCGCCCCTCAACGGGCTCACCATGGAAATGTATTCTTCTTTCTTTGTTAGCCACGTTACAAAGAACCGTACTCCCGCACTCTTTCCCTCTCTCTTACTCTCAGTCTCGGAGTACTTGGCTGTGTTTTTATGTTCCGTCAGCCAGATCAAGTTTTGGAATGTAAGGTCTGAGCCATTTCACCTTAATTTGGTCTGCAGATCAAACTGGCAAAACCTCTGTGATTAGCTGCTGTTTATCCATTGTGATGTAATATGTGATGTCATTTCAAGTCTTATTACAGATGACTTGATTTGAGGAGGATATAAACACTCAATGATATCAAAATGACAGCTTTTGAGAAACCAAGCATTATTTTATGCAGTGCTGTGGAAAACAAGATGGCAAACACCCATGAGGTGCTTGGATAGGGTAACATTATGGATGCTTATTAATACACAGTTATTGTGAAAAAGTATGTGAACCATTGGATATCTGCATAAAATGGTCTTTTATTGAACAAACTGTATAAACATTTATAGTGCAGGGTGGAAAAAATATGTACATCCTTGGATTTAATAATTAGTTGACTCTTTTTGGGCAGCAGTATATTTTTATATTAATAAATACGATTTGTTTATTATATAACACTATAATTTGCCATTTCTACTCTATTGTATGAGTTTCAGCTCGATTTTCATCATCAGCAATTCAAAATGGTCTAACTAGTACAATGAACTTATGACTTAACATGTTGTTACCATGGCAACTTAAAGATTTTGTCTAAAATGTGATCTACTGCTAGGCTAAATCTGTAAGGTGCACAGAGTGAGGCAACTGTTAAAATCAAACTATGTAAATGTATTTATTTCCCTATTAATCTCTAAAATTCTGGTAATTGCTGATCAGCGAATCTGTGTTAGCATGAGGTGATGGAGGCTATTTCACTCAGTTGAGCTGAAACACTGAGGCTCATGGGAGCAGTGCAGTTTACGGCCATGGTCAGGATCCCTTATGGGGACAGATGCTCAGTGTAATTTCCAGTCTGTGGATCAGCATGGGAGGAGAACGAGAGATATCACCTCCCACTCATTTTCTCTCACTAAGACACTAATTTTTTGTATCTGTAGTTCCACAAATTTCAGAGATATCATGAAAAAACAGAAGCAGAACTTAGCAGGAATCACATTTACATTTATGCCAATTACATTTGCTATTTGTAATTCACCTTGTTTCAAAAGATCTTCTCCAAACTCTCTTGATTAAATCATAAATGTGCTGAAAAAAACTGAAAAAAACTGTTGTGCTGGCAACAGTTTACCTCTGCGCCCCCTACGGTGGCCATCAAGGGTCAGAGGAAGTGTCGGTCCCGAGAGCACTAACAACCATATGGATCTGGATCTGTGCGAGTGAATTGGGCAGTCAGTGTATCACAGCCTTCAAGTTTAATGGGCCTCCAGATGGAGGGTAAACTTTAGAGAGATCTTCCAAAAGGAACTGGCTTTTGTGAGTGTGTAAGATTGAGTTTTGAGTGTGTATGTGTGCAAGGATGCTTCACACTCCTGCCTGAACCAAGGTCTCTCTTATTGGCATCGTCACTGTTGGGCGATGTCCCCTGTCTCTCTCTCAGAACACTCTCATCCATCTTCCTGTCCCGGAGCCTTTTTCTGAACGATGCTCCTTGCTGATGAAATGCGTTGTGTGTGGAATGAAAGAAGGGAAAGACAGAGAAACATGTAGTTTTGATTGATCTTGTGAGTGTGTTGGATGATAAGTATGTCAGATAGCACAGACCCTGGGGTGATCATATCAGCAGACCCTGCCAACTCCAGGCCAGGAGAAGCGCGTGTGTGTGCATATGATGGAAATCTCATTTAAAGCCCATATCATTCTCTTTAGCTGTAGCATGCATGGAATGATTGCATAATTATTGCTAAAAATAGACTCTACTCTCTCAGTGGTCCTGGTGATTTTCTGCTTTAGTGAAATGACAGATGCTGAGTTCATCTTTTTCTCCTGATCTGGAAAGAGAGCAGATGACCTCATCTAAACCTGTGTATCGTGTCATTTATGCCGCTACTGATCTTCCTTATCAGATTACCTGCTGTTGTGTGTATGGTTTCACATTTACTGCATACCAGTTTTTAGACTTCATGTGAATATGTAGAAAGTAATATCAGCTTTCAAAAGCACACATGAACAGATCTACGATAGTTCATTACATGTTTGTTGAATTAATTACATGAAATTAGACACTTTTGTTAGGGATGCACCATATTTTGAGACCATTCACTCACTCACTCACTCACTCACTTATTAATTCATTTATTATTCATCATTAGTTTATTTATTAGTATTAGTTGATATTGGTTTATTGATTTGTGCATTTCCTCTATTTTTACATTTGTTTTACATTACCTTTGCCACAATGTAACATTTACTTAGAGTTAATCTAATTATTCAATAACATTATTATTTAATAAATTATTTAATAAAACCGTTAAATCTTGAACATAGCACAAAATGAATATTTATTTTTCATACTGTACATTATCATGTTGTGATGCCTAAATTCACTTGTATAATAACAATAAGAATATTAATACTGTCTATTTTTTCGGTTATCAGCATTAACATAATATCAGCTTTTAGGCCACAATTTTAATACATTTGTGCAAGGTTACACTCAGCCAATCTTTTTCTTAACTATTTTTAAAGATTTTTATAAGATGTATAGCACGAACTGTAATAAGAAGTGGCAATAGGGTCATTATCATTGCTGTTACTGTCTCTACCGCTCAGGTGGATTGAGTTTCAAGGGATTTTACACTTCTGTCTGATCTGCTTCCTGTATGACTGTCTCTGAAGTGAAATTATGAGGTGACCTTTTCTTTTTTGTGTTATTTCATTTTAAAAAGTGCAGGCTTGACCTTTACATCCGTATAACAAACCCATTCGACAATCAGACCCTCTGATTGAAAGTCTTTATTATGAGCCCCTCTCTGCTCTCATTTTTTCCCATATACCATACACCACCTATGCGGCCACACTATCCATGCAATGCAAAAATGTACTTTGCATCAACCAGACACTCTGGAGGATATT